TTGCAGAACCGGGGATTGAACTCAGGCTCTTGCGCTTGCCAGAGAAGCACTTATCCACTGAGCCATCTCCCCGGCCCCACATCTATTCTTAACCTTCTTACCTTCTCAGCTCTTCTTTCTCTAGCTGCTGGGAAAGTCTTTTCTGTTCACTGTTGTTTTTGGAGGGTGAGGAGTTGAGATAGGGTCCCCATACGTAGCCCAGGATGGCTCTGAACTCATGACAAGCCTCCTGCCTCAGCCTCCTAAGTGCTGGGATTACAGGTGTGTGCCCTCATGCCCAGTGCTCTATGTGCTGCTTTCCTGTTTTCTGATTTGTAAATTAGGGAGGAAGTATTTTCTTCTCAAGATTGTGGGCAAAAACTAGATAATAGGCTCCATAGGGAATTGTAATGCGTGCTGGCTCATGGGCTCTACATGCTTAGGACAGTGGCTGGGATAACCTTGCTTTGCTTAGTGCTGTGGTAGCTGACCCTTCTAAGAAGCAGCTTCAAAAAAGAGCTATCTGGGACTTGGGACCACTGTCCAAATACCATTAGCAACAGGTTCCATTCCTATAAGGTGGACCTTATAGTAATTGCTTTGCATGCACTGTGTCATTTACAACTTATTTTTTGCAGTGCCTGGGACATAAAGTTATACTAGGAAAGTGCTGTCACTGAGCTATACCCTGCCCCATCTCATTTAACTAATATTCCTCTGAAGTAGCAACTACCATTGTCTCTCCCTTCTTAGAAACCAGGACATTGAGGCTCAGCAATAACATACCCAAGGTCACACAGTTCTTAAGTGTCGCATCTGTTTTGGTCCCTTTTTTCACCCCCTCCGCAGTTTTCAGTGAGTGTGCCTACTGTGAAAGGGCCCCTGCTCACAGCTGGGGTTTGGTATGATGGGGGTGGGAGGAGAGAATAGAGGAATCTGAGTGTGTGTGTGTGTGTGTGTGTGTGTGTGTTTGTGAAGGCTGTGGCAGGAGACACAAGCTGGAAGCTGGATGAGCAATTGTTTCCAGAAGCTGAACATTTGGCTGGACTCATCTCTCCATCTTTGGGCCAATTTGTAATTCATTTATCACTCAAACCCCAGAGCTGCAGGGCAGTATGCCAGGCTGTTCAGTCCCTGAGGAGACAGATCTTCAGGGAAAAGGACTGTTACCTCCAGAGGCCAGTGATGAGACTGGGAAATTCTTGCCTTAGGAAGGCTATGAGGTCCTGACATGTTTTATAACCCAGAACTGAGATGGTAGCCCAGGGGATCCATCACCTCTGTCCCTCATTTCT